TACGTAGTAAATGCTTGGATTTACAAACGCTTTTTTTTGTGATAATAAACGCCTTGTTAAGAACTTTAATATTTGAAATGGAAAGAAAATAATGGTTATAAATTCCCAGTCTGAGATTTGTCTGTTAACTAAACTTTAAAGAACATAAAATGTTCATTGACTTTCCTTTTTCTGCTTGTCACAAAAACGGTGTGAAGGATTTGAATCTCAAATTTGCTTTTAGCGACATTCGATAGCATTGACAATGCCAATTATTTCTTTTGTATTCAGTGTATGTATTGTGAAAGTTGTATGAGAATGAAATGCTGACTAAGTTGTGTAACGTGTGCTCTGCAGTTGTGTAGAAATGTAATGTGTTTAATGCCTCTTAACTAATCTTTTATTCACTAGAAGAAGATTTTAAGGTTTGGTTCTACTCCACTTGTGAACATCTGGAAGGCCAACGGAACTTGGTGTGAATTCTTTTTTTAATTTTTTTATGCAGCCTCCTTAATATTTTTAAAACTTGTAATCAAATATAAATCATACATTTCGGAAAAATCACTGTGTTATCAATGTCTCTTTAGTGACAGCCGCTGTTTCTACTATTGGTTTCTTCAAATACTTGAACTACGTTCACAATACAGACAGGATATACTCATGCATTCATCATTTTATTTATTAGAACATAAATTAGTAATATCGTTCATCTATTCTCAGTTTACTTTTGGTTTTCATGTATCATTCACATATGAAATTGGATGATTATCACTCACAGATGAAATGGAGACATTATTTTGTTTAGAGTAATAAGACACTTCAAAATCTTGTAAAATCTATCAAGTTATAATTTTTTATCATTCACTTTTAAATATCTCCAGAAAATAAAATTTAAATTATAATTTCCAAACATTAATGCTCTCTCTCTCCATTTTCGATTCTTTGTTAACTTTATTACGTTCCTATGCTACTAAATTGGAGTGTTTTTCTCTTGCTTAAAAATAGCAAATGAAATGATTGGTTATACATTAGGAATTTTACAACGCACAATAGAATTATCAGGCATTTTATCATATTTCTTAATTTGAAATACTGTTCTTCTACTCGTATTAATGTTGTTATTTTAAAGTTTTATAATTGACTTGAAAATATTTTATTGTGTCCTTTCATGTATCCGACCCTTTTATGCTTTTTTTATACTTGATGACTAACTTAATATTCTTTTTAAACCTCATGAATTTAACATTATAGTATTTATAGTATTCTGTGTACTCTTATATTGGAAGTTTTACCCTTATACTTGAAGTATTTTATTTGTTTACAATATAGAAACACACTGACTTTGAATACTAGGACCACGAGGAGAATTTGTTAAATTACGAAGACAGGATGTGAGTTTGACGTGATTTGTTTACAGCTTACGTTTTCTTGTATTCAGCATACAACTTTTCAGGACAACAAACAAACACCAACTTTTTGAACATGAACATGAAAAAAGTGAAAACTTAGCAACAGTACATACAATAATATAATGACCAGATCGTCGTTTTATTGTGCTCCCTTTTGTTTGAATATATCTCGAATGCTTCAAGGCGACAAGGCTCCGGGGCCAATCCAGCCGATCATTTGGGGGGGTGGGTATCGTAGATTTTTGTTAAATAATAAACATATTTGTTATTATATTGTATATTTTTGTTGGGTATATATGGTACTATACAATAGTGTTTAAATAATTACATAATTCTGACGTACATAAATATTTAAATCAATTTTCTCAAATAAAGTAAAGTAATAAACGAAAGCTCTAGGACTTTTGGGGGTGGGCAGGGCCCCCCTGAATCCGCCATTGCGGTTACTGACCGATGTGGGGCAGGCCGACAGAGTAGCAAATGAGGCCGGTAGAGGGTGCGGGACTGGATGGAGCGGGTAGAGCGGGGTAGAGCGGAAAGAGCGGTCGGAGTTGAAGGCGCGAGAAGCAAAGGAGTGGGCGCATCTAAGGAGTGAAGGGATAGGCAAAGTTTAAGGATCGGGCGGAGCGTGAGGTGCTGGGAGAACGTAAGTAGTGGAGCGGAAGGATCGGGCGGAGTTTAAAGATAGAGGGGAGGAAAGGGGAGTGGACGGGCCGAAAGGAGCATGAGGAGCGGGCTTATTTTAAGGAGCGAGAGAAGCAGATGGAGTGGTAGGGACGAATTTTTTAACTAAGTAGGCAAAAATAAATTGTAATTTTTAAACGTCGTAGGCTTTATATAATAGATACAAAGTCAGTTGTTAATATTGAAATGTTTTTTATTTGTATGATGGTATCCGTTTTTTATTGGGTTTTCAATGTCAATTGCAGAGTGTAACTTCAAGAAGTTAACGAATGACGGAATTAAGATTACATACGTGTTAACGGAACATTGGTTAAGATAAATACAGGGAATAACCCTTCAGAAATACACTGCAAGCAAACACTTATAGGATATCCTTCCTTCCGACAATGGTTGGGGGTCGGAAGAGGGAAACATGGTTTGGTAGGGTAGAGGAGAACAAAA